ACTCTACGGTCTCAATGTCGACTTGAAGGGGACTTTTGTCAGTTTAATCGAGCAAAAATTGTACACGGGACCCTTTGGTTTCAAAGCCAAGTTAGAGAAGACCGCCAGCGTTATGTCAGAATGCAATCTAACGCACAAGCTATTTGGACCGGTTCGCTCCAGCATTGAATCCAACTGCTAGGAAAACGAGCACAGTCGTCTTCGACTCTTCTCAGTTTACTCGAGGAAGCTTCGAACCGTGTACTCTACGGTCTCAATGTCGACTTGAAGGGGACTTTTGTCAGTTTAATCGAGCAAAAATTGTACACGGGACCCTTTGGTTTCAAAGCCAAGTTAGAGAAGACCGCCAGCGTTATGTCAGAATGCAATCTAACGCACAAGCTATTTGGACCAGTTCGCTCCAGCATTGAATCCAAATGCTAGGAAAACGAGCACAGTCGTCTTCGTTAAACTTAAAAACAGGAAACCTCGGTTGGATGGTTGAGAACGAAAGTCCTAGAGACAAATACCCGTAGGGCAAGTCAAGTCGTTACACTACGGTAGCGACTGCACATTGCGATCCACGGTACTGTGATTATCCCCATGCGAGTATATCCATCCATTCTAGTTTCATTGGGGGGATCTATAGCACATTTGGAAGCTATATACATTTCATGATTAACTATAAAAGGGTAGCAATATGGTAAGGCTTTCCACGTTAGCTTAGATTCAAATATGACTGTCGATTCAGCATGAATAAAATTTTTCAGCCTTAATTTCGGCCGTTTTGATTTTGAGTATGCTCATATCGTTAAATACCAATATTGGGATTTGTTTATAAAACACTGCTCAAAGTTACTGTTAAATTCAAATCGAATCTATCTATTGACAATTGCACAAAGTGATGATATCGAATTTCAGGCCATAAAAGCGTTGTAACCCTCATACAACTTCAGAAAAACCCAATACCATTGGGACTATATCCACGAATTACTCAAACAGCGGACTGGTTGTAGAACACAGTCAACTCAGTTCCGGTATCACCAAACAAACAGAGAGGCGAACACGCGACTTCGCAAACACGAGCGAGAAAGCGGCAAAGGTTCATTAGCTTAAAAAACACGCACAAAAGTTTTCCATGCAATGATGTCGACTGTAATAAGCTGAAGGCACTAACCTTGGGTGTTATAAATTAGAATGTATTAAACCAAATTGCGTATAAATTAGTCATTTCAAAATATCGCGAAGTATATTGGGTTAGACAGTTTCTGAAGTCGGATTTTAATTATTATACTAAAGTGTGAAACATTTAGTTTTTTTTTCGGTTCGATTGATGGATTAAAAAAGCATCAACTGTGTAAAATGATTACGAATAAAAATTGATCAAATGCCAAAGCCCAGGGTAAAATTATGTTAATGCAGCCTTCTCATTCACGCAAGTTTTTTACACGCAAAACAGCGACTTACGTTGGAAAAAACCGTTTTGTACCATCACAATACGCTACGCTCGTGTAAACAGGAGATTGCTTCAAACACGAACAGAGAGGAGCATGAACACACGGCGAACTCCAAGGCTGATCTAGCGTCAATCGGGCAGCGTCATGCAAATATTTCGAGTATACCCCCGTAGGATCTCACTTTATGTCGAAGCTTACAAGCACTATTGGCGGCTTTACATGACGCAAGAGCGGTTGTTCGCTGACTAGTGAATTATTTTGAATCCTACCACGAGGAGGTGACATTTTGACTTGTAGCATCCCAGTCATGACATACTTTAATAGAAACCACCACCTCCACCTCCTCCCAAGCTACAATACGAGAGAGCAAAACAGCTTAGATTTTTGAGCGCCGCGAGAAATTAGTTTGATTATTCGGCTCTTTTCCACTTTCGCGCACCTTTCAATTTCAATTTTGAAAAACTCTTTAACAGGAAATTCATCGAATGTTGAAACAGAGGGGCGCAAGCCCTAGGGACCTGTCCTGAAGAATCTTCGACTACTTCTACAACTATTGTCATAATGCAATGAAATTTGACATGGATAACAAACGGTAGTGTGCCGAGCAAAGTTTTTCGGCTCTTTCCCAGTTTCCCACCCCCTCGGAAAATTTAAAACAAGGCTGTTTGAAAATTGTTCACACGCATTTGGCGTGATAGAAATGTTGTAAAAACTTGTTCACGCTGACACGTTTTAATGCAATTTATATTGAAAAAGTCATTTCAAATTGATTTCCATACATTGAGTTTCAGAAAAAATCAAGGGGACGGGGACTGGAAAAGAGCCGGTTTTTCTGCCAAAGGGTCCCCACTATGGATACATTTTTACTATATGCATTTTGTGAGAACCAAGTCCTTCGACGCCTTATCAAAGGTATCATGCGTCCAGTTAAGAGGCAGGTTTTTTGACGGATACCTGTCAAATCGTGTCAGACGACAATGAACGGAAAAATGTTCAGCCGAGGACAAGTAGTGCATCTCATTGTACTTCTTCCAGCATACCTGGTTACGAACTCTGTTGAAATTAAGGACTTTGAACAAATCTAGCCCTTTATTCCGAAATTGTTCCGGACGCAAACTTTGAATCTGAGCTTGAAGTTTGGAAAAACATATGGTCCGGCATGAAACTCCTCAAAACATACTTGAGATCAACCATGCGGGAAGACCGGCTCTTTGTATATCAATAAAAAATAAATCCTTGGCGTAGACGAAATCATCAAAAGATTCTGCTTAAAAAACCAACATACAGTTTCTTTAAATTGTTGATTGCACAAGATTTCAAAAAATTGCGGACTTGTTACTTTCTGTATAATTTGTGTATCTTTATTTTTTTGAATTCAATTTTTGTTTGAACTTGTCTTTTTGGCTCTTTTCAAGTTTTAAACAGCTAAATTTTGTAGTTTTCCTAGGGGGATGGGAAACTGGAAAAGAGCCGTGTTTTTTATTTAAAAAACTAAAACGCCCCCCCCCCCTCGAAAATTTTCCGCGCACGCCACCGATAACAAACTAAAAATTGGGCTCTTTTCCCTCCCTGAAAGGAAAAAGGGCTCTTTTCCAGTTTTCCCCCCCCCCCATTTCATTTTTTCTTAAATTCATTACATGAAAGTCTTTTTAAAATATTTTTTAATGTTATAAACTCATTAAAACGTGTCAGCGTGAACAGCTGAACAAATTTTCACAACATTTCTAACATGAAAATTGCCGTGTGAACAATTTTTGAACATCTCTTTTTGTAATTTAACAAAGGGGGGGGGGGGAAACTGGAAAAGAGCCGGAAAAAGAGCTAAAAATTGTTAATATATTTGTTCTGTATACCTTACATCAAAACTACGCGTTTAGCCAGAATTACCGCGTTTAGCCGTAAAACAACTAGAAAAATTGCAAATTTCAAAAATGCCTGGGGTGGAAAAGAGCCAATTATTCCACTCATTTTTAGTAGTCATCCCGAAGCAGCGAACGAGGGAGTCTGCTCGGTAGTGGCAGCTTCAGTCGGCACTGTCGCAAAAGTAGGAACAGTTGAATTGAGATACGTATTGAAAACGTGTTGTTGAAACTCGGTCAGACACAAAGCCAGAGAATCTTGCAGAGGCAGTTTAACATGAGGTCCGATCCGGAGTGGCTTGAATTTACACCACACTGATCCGAACGAGACGAGAGTAATGTAGATTATAACTACTAAGTTCCAGTGAAAACATCCGATGAAACACAAAAAAGGAGCTGAGCTTATTGAGCTTTATTTTTGGCCCTTTTCCAATAGAACGTGAAAGTGAGAACAAGGGAAGGCGCTTTTCCACTTTCCTCTCACCTTTTATATTTTTCATTTTCATAGTCATTTTACGTTTTGTAACGGCTAAATGCGTAATTTTACAATGTAAATCATGAAGACCAAAATTGTTCACAATTGTTAGTTTGTTCACCATGCAATTTTATTGTATTATGACAATGTTAAAGTAGTTTGAGGCTCTTTTTCCTTTTCCCCCCACCTCACGCCAGTTTCAACTTATTAGTGTAACGAGTGGTTTTACGAGGTTGAGTATGAAGACCAAATATGTTTGTCGTGGCCTTATTAGTTTGTATGTAAATTTTCATAACAATCGGACAAATGTGGTCAACAATTTTACATGTAAAAATTTGCAAGTGGGGGGGGGGAAGGAAAAAGAGCCTAGTTTGAAATATAGAGGGGGGGGGGGGGGTGGAAAAGAGCCGCAAAAAATAGTGAATAAACTGCAGTAATTTATATCCGTTTATATGGCAGAGAATATAGTACCAACGATAGTAAGTAGTGCAGCAAAAAGGATCAGGCCATGCAGTTATTCAATTTAAAGTTTTTTACAGTCTTTAAGTAATAAGGCTCTAACTACGGGCATGTTTTAGGTCATTGGAGTAGGGTCAATGGGGCTACATAATTGGTGTGAGTCATTGAATAGACAGCAGCGAATTGGACTAAAACAAACAATTATTCCGGATGTTTTCTCTGACCCTTTGCAGTTAAATCACTCGAAAGTCTGGATTTCTTGAACGCCATTTCATCCATAATAGAATGATATCAAAATAATAACGAAGATTTTTAATGCAAATATCGTAATATTGAGTCGCTGTTTGTAATAAATTAAGTCGTTGGGCAGTTAAAATTTGGTTGAATAATTAACTGCTGGTTTTATATTTCGTAAAGATTTCAAATATACACGTGTACCTTAAGTATATCTAATTACGATATTCTCTGGACTCAGCACAATTTTACCCACTCCGAACCCCACCTCAAATAAGCATCAATATTATGGTATCACGAAGGGTTTTACAAGGTTAAACATGAAAATCAAATCTGTTTTTGTCATGGTCAAATTAACTCGCATGCTAATTTTTGTAACACTTGGATAACGTGAACAATTTTTCACCCCTCGTTACACCATCAAACTGCTGCTTTCTGATGTTGAATTCAGAAAATATGAAAGGGGTGGAGGGTGGAACTGGGAAAGCTACCACCCCCAAATTCTCCCCATTTCATTATAGAACAACACCGACTGACCTTGTCCATAGTAATGACAGCTGTGGCGGCACTGCCTGTGAACCCACTGATGAACTGTCTCCTCTTGTGGGGGGCAGCTGTGTACTCCGACTGGTGTGCATCTTCACTCGGCACTACATAGGCACTCAGTCCAACACCGCCGCCACCACTCTCTTGGTCGCCTGAAACAACCAACTCACTCTCTTTACTTCTATTCACGTTATACTTTAGTTTTTTCTCCAATTTAGGAAGTTCCGAAGCTTTTTTTGACTGGAAGAAATGATGAAGGATTAGTGCAGTAACGGCTCTTTTCCACCCACTCCCCCCCCCGCTCCACTTTTCAAAAGATTTTGAAGTTTTTTAACGTATTATTACGGCGAAATGCTGTGAAGCAGGCAGATCAAATCTGTTCACAGTCGTCAGTTTGTTCACCATGCCAAATTTCATTGCATTAAGATAACGCAACGGGAAACAAACTTATCGAAATGGAATTTGAAATGGGAGAAACTGGAAAAGAGCCGAAGTAACTTCGGTTATCATAATAACTTTAACATAAAACATTACAAAAAATCTTAGCAGAAACCGGTGAATTTCGTCCTCAAATACAACTTTGAAAACCAATAGTTACACAAAAAAATTTAACTTTAATCTGGTGGTGCGACTGTTGAAAAGCCAAAAAACATATTGAACTTTATAGAGCTGATTTTTTGTCGTGTTCTCGCTAGCGTTTGCGAAGCGAAGCTCCGCCTCTGTGTAAAATCTTGCTTCAGAATCTACCCGTGAATCAAGAAGAAGTAGAAATGAGCCTCGAATTAGTAAAAAATCGGCTACGTCTCGGATTCGGTCTGCGACCTAGAAATTTTGAGTCTCAAGCACTAACCATTGAGCCACGTGACTTAATTGATCGCACATACCAGCCACAGATAATAGATGCTATGAAATTTCCAATGCTAGATCGTGATTATAGCAAAAATGCCACCAAATAAGTGAACCCTTTCCAATTTCAATGAACACTTTTATTTGAGAGTAAGGTTAGAAAAAAGAAGGTTCGTACTAATGGATCTTGTTAACCATTCCCCCCTAGTGGACCTTGTTAACTAGTTCCCCCTATCCATGTCTCAATTTTGATAACCATTAACGTATAAATTATGCATTTCAAAAATGTCAGCAATTAATTTGGTTTTCATTTTCGCGCGTTCGTATTTGTATTACTCACTATTTATATAATAACTATTTAAAAAAATTAATTAAATATATTTTCTGAAATTGTGGTAAGCTCTTGAAAATGTGGGCAGCCAAAGTTGAATTTCTGAAAATCGAAAAAGAGGGGTAATAGATAACAAGATCCGTACTTATAAATTAACTGCTCGCTTGTGTGAAAAAATTTTTCTTAAGATTATAACCTGCCAGTAAAATTATAGTTATGTGCAACCTGAGGCATACTGGCTCAAAGTCTGAAGTACTAGTCGCCAATAAAGCGGATGCAGCATGTGCTATTAAAATGCCAAAAATTTTCGAGTTTTGCGAGTTGCCTTTAAAAGAAGAGTACTGGCGGAAAGTATAATAACAATACACTCGCCAGCTGATTTAGGTTAATTAGCAAGCCCGCCTCCACTAATCAATTGGCTCGCAAAAAATTAATTGTTTTTCTGATCAAGGTAACCAAGCAAAGAAACTTTGAACAATTTCAAGTTAAACCATATCGTAAATCGGTTTGAAAAATTTATGTTTCATAGAACAAATCAGTTCCCGAAAAATTGGAGGTTTTTATAAGCAAGCTAATCAAACTATGAAACTTTGAAATATTTCAAAATGTTTCATGAAGCAAATCGGATAGTACAAATTAGGGTTTTTGAATGGAACCTTTTCAAGCGATAAAACATTGAAATATTTCCAGTTGTTTCAAAGAGCGAATCAATTCGCAAAAAGTACAGTTTTCAAGCGAAGCTATTAAAGCTATGAAACTTTTAAAATTTCAAGTTAGTTCAAAAAAACGAAGCGGATGGCAAACTGTTTTCTGTTGAGGCTTTTCAAGTGATTTCGAGGTTTTTCGCAGTTTTTGAATTAAATTTTTTTGCGCGAACTAATGGAGCAAGGAACTTCAAAAATCCAAGCTATATCTTAGACCGAATCGCTTTTGCTATAAGTTGAAATTTTCCACAGCAAGCAGTTCAAGCTACAAAACTTTGACATAATTCAAGATATTTAAAGAAAACAAATCGGTTCACAAAAACTTGTCTAAGCAAGCAAATTGAAACGTTGAAGCTATTCGAAACTTGAAAACTACGACATTTTCATTTCATAGACTGAATTGGTTCGCGAAAAATTTAAGTTTTTCTAAGCAAGCTTTTGAAGCTATGAAAGTTTGAAATATTTCAACTTTCTTCATAGACTGAATCGCTTCGCAAAAACCTTTACGTTTTTTGAACAAGCGAAGAAACTTTGCAATATTTCAAGTCATTTATTGGACCAAATCGGTTCGCGAAACGTTTCAAGTTTTCCAAGCAAGCTTTTGAAGCTATGAAACGTGGAACTATTCCAAGTTATTTCATAGACCGAATCGGTTCGTAAAAACTTTCGATCTTTGCATTGAGGTTGCTGTTTTTAAGTGATTCATTTCAGGCTGAAATGCATCAGTGAACGCAACATTTTGGACAAAAATTACGCATGTACTGTCTATAGCCTTGAAGTATTATCGAGTTCATCTTCCTCTGAATGATTCTTAAACGTTACGCTCGATAGCCTTATAAAAATTGTCTCCTAATAACTCTTAAGCATTGTGTTCAGTTACACATTGCGTCCATAGCGCATTCCGACTTTCATTTAATATTTAAGAAGATATCATGGGCATTTAAAATGGAAATAACACAGGGAAAAAACATGGTTAACGGAGTCTTTGTTCCGATTTGATAACGCTTGCTAACGTATAGGGACGTTGAGAAAAGTCTAACGGCAAATGTAAATATACGAAAATAAAACGTTCGAAAATAAAAGGACCAAGAGTCGCATGTTGTATCCACTAAATTACTGCTGCTTGGTTTAGGCTACTTTCGCATATGACTAAATAGTAAACACCAGGAAGCAGAGAATACACTTTAATTACAGGTTTTTCGGCAATGTCATTTGGTGAATATATAAGCTAATAAAACGCCCGCACATCATTATCATATTGAAGTCTTTGCAGACAAACTTCAGATAACAAAAAACATCTTTCAAAAAGTTATCTTGGCTTCGAGTAAGATTATTCTCAATACTTCCACTTTGCAGACAATATCTACCATAATAATTCTCTGCTGTTTGAAAGGTCCGTGTCACATCATTTTCAAGCTTTTGGAATCTTTAAAACATGTATTTAGAACTAACCCATCATGATCCATTACTGAAAGTTATGGTAATTTGTAAAGCTGAAACTATTTATAGTTCAGCCAGAGAAAAAATTATCTAACTTAGAAAGCAGTTGTCTTCCTCTCCTCTAACCTCGCAAGAATAACAGTATATACTAGATCTATTGAGACAAGGAGATATAGGAGTAAGATTAGGATTGGTATTAGACTAAGAAGTTGCACGAATCTATCCGGCCGAAAATAAGATAGCGTGACGAGCAGACGGTGTACCCTATCCAAAATTACTCTATGAGAAGGCCACCCCGGACCTAAACTCACTTTTAAGAAGAATTGAGATCCTTTCAATTCGTTCGGTGTGGCCAAAAATGCTCAAGAAAAGAACAAAAAAAATTTTTGTGGTTTTTTTAAGAAAAATTCTCCGTGTAATACCGTGGTTGGAAGAGTCTGCCTTACTTCTAGCGCAACAACCAGCCATTTGGCCGGACATATGGTTCAGTTGATAACACCCGGGAAAAATTTCAAGGTTCCAATTCCTTTGCATTTGACAGGGAACTAATTTGTAAGGGAGATCTGACCTTGACCTTTGGATAGTGTCGGCGAAGCTGTCTTCATCAGTTCACGAAGACGGGCCAGCTTGATATCCATCGGAAGCTTCATAATTCAATTATCTCTCTCTTGATAATTCTATCAATTACACAAATAACTCTTTTTTGTAATCAATAACAAAGTGATAAAATGAGTATTTTAGCCGATCAAAGCAAATAATTGTTTGAATGAAGGGGCTTCAGCTATGATATCTGAAATCAATTCAGATCTAACATTTACAATGAATAAATTGACTGTTAAGTCCGCTCAGTTTTTTTCGTGTAACAAAAACTGCAAGCTCACTGTTTGAACAAAGAAGCTGTTATAATGATGATATTCAATTTAACGAGAAAATGAGCAATAAATACGGAGAAACTTAGACTAAAAATACCATTTCTTGCATCGCCATAAAAATAACTCAGGACCCAATGATTTTCTGTTCCTGTAGCTCTGAGTGGAATACAAACAAAATATCTCAGACCAAAATTCATGTGCCCTCGTTAAACAATTGTTTTAAATATGGTTTCATAGAAATTTGTAAAACTGAAAACGCAGTTTTTGTTCTAACCACCAATGGTATAGGTTCGTTTTTTTGCCGTTAATCGGATTCTTAAAGAATCAAAAAGTTTCCGTCTCAAAAAATTGCCAAGTCTCAGTGTTTCGAAAAACTGATCTCCTTTTTTTCTCGTTTTTCAGACAGGAAATTTGGGATCAAAGATCTACTCTAAGTTGCCATTTTTCCAATACATTATCTATTATCAATTGGTTTTTATGGCCCATTAACTTATTCAATATCCTTTCACAAATTTTTTCTTTTTTTTATATTTTGTTATAAAAGTTTGCGAGGTCAGAATATTCTGCGCTATTTGTACAGCATCCGGCTATTCTTGTTCTTTTGTATTTTTTAGTTTTTATCAATATTCGTTCTTCAAATTACCTCCTAATAAAAGTTAGGAGTGAAAAAGTAAATTTCAAACCAAACTTATTACAGGTTTGGGGCAGAATTTAATAGCATTTTTCACGTTTAAGCATCAAAATGACGAGTGACAAATAATTTCATAGATCATCATTAGACAGACAGTCATGAGTAACTTTGTTTTTCATGTACTGCTCTTCGGAAAAGCACAATAAGTTTTCAATTGAACATTGCAACAAAATCGTTCAAGGCGAAAAATAGTTCCTGCAAAACTGTATCAGAGTCCTCGTTGGTCTGCCCGACATCCCTTTGGACAGATACTGCACTTCGTTTTTATTCTCAAACACACCCCCGATGTCCAAATGGGCCCATGAAGGACACTTGACAAAGTGGGATAGAAAAGCGGCAGCAGTGCACGCTCCCCCTCCTCTGAGGCCGGGTGAGTTGTTCAGGTCGGCTAGGGGGGAGTTGGACACTTGTCGGGTGAAGAGGGGACTGAGGGGCAGTCGCCACACTTGATCGCCAGTGGAACTGCCAGATTTCCTGCAGAAAACAAAATATTTAACCGTAAAAAGAGTCAGAAAGCTCATTTGATAAACAATATAACGAACAGTGATGTCCAAAGTAACCATTTGTTTAACAATTGGTTTAACCAATTGGTTAAAAAAATGGTTTGTTAAACTGATTTAACCAATAACCAATTGGTTCAACCAATTTGGTTACATACCGGTCTTTTTTAACCAATTAAAACTGGACCATATATTAGCTTTTCAGGAGTGCATTTTGAATCTAAGTAAGGCCAAGAAATCGTTTTTTTTTCAGCGCCACACCAAACCTTCACTAAGTCGTCCTCCATCGATTAATAAGTTGCAATTTTGGCAATTTAATACAATGGGAGAGAAAATATGGATTTTTCATGATCTAACTTTGAGAATAGCTCATTCAAAATTACTGAAAACAATGAAATGAAACATTAATCTAAGCAATTACCAGTATACAATTACAACCTCGACCTCGCATACAAAATTTTATAAACCATTTTTATTTGCGCGATTTCATGAAAAGTATAATTTATACAGAATCAATTTTCAGATTTAATATATGGTTGGGAAGGGCTTTCTACGGTAGGTCATCAGGGGGGATGGGAGGAGAGATTGTACGGTTGATCCCATTTGATATCGTCCGCCAAATTCTTGTTCCGAATACTTTTAAAGCTTGCCTCATTTACAATAAAAAAGAATGTATTTATAATTTGTTTTATCAATGTTTAAAAGCAAAATTGGTTAAATCGATTTGGGCCGAAAAAAAAATTATTAGTTATATGTTAAAAAATCGGTTCTACCTTTTTAACTGGACATCGCTGATAACGAAAGTTACATTTTTTTCCCGCCCACGCGAATATTTCCCCCCTTATATTAACCAAGAGAACGACCACCACACTAAATAAATGGCACTCTAGCAGTAAAACCAACAAACATAATGCTGGATTCTTAGCGGCTGAAAAATGATTTTAAACGAGTAAACGATCTCTCTAATGTAATTTTCACTTGGTCCGAGTTTATTTTTTATCTCAAAAACTTCGATGAGTCACTACGAGGATTAGTACCATAGGTTAGGTTTCAGGGTAGATAATAAAAAATTGAAAAATAAGATTATTCGACAAATTTCGTTTCGCTGAAACCGTTGCTTTTGAATGTATCTGATTTTTCGATCATTCTGGGTTAGCTACTAGGAGGATTTCATGACTTTTACACAGAGGCGAAGTTGCACTTCGCATACACAAGCAAAAATATGACCGATAACGCTACTGGGAAAAACTGAATGAGTAAAACTTTGAGTCTACAAAATTTCTTAAAAGAAGCATTCCAATTATGAGTCTACTTAATTGCTAAGTGACGCATTTAGAGTACCAGTCAATTTGAAAAAAAAAAGAAATTTGCCAACTAACATGCCTCAATTTATATTTGCCAACTAACATGCCTCAATTTATAGAGCCCAGGTTCGAACCCTCTAATTTTGTTGCTGGTCTCCTTCTCTACCTCTACGCTAAGATCCATGATACCTTGAAGCTTAAGTGTTATTTGTAATATAATAGCCTGTGTTAATATCCTTTGCATTGGCTGTACTTAATGGCTGATTTTTGATCAAAATGAACACTTTCAAAAAGAACACATTTTGTCGCAACAATATTTGCGACTTAGGTTAAAAAAAAAGAAAGTTCATAGTATAACACAAGCTATGCTTATGTAATCATTACAAGGGTTTATACTTGGAAATTAACTAGAAAAACAGCCTCTATTTTTTTCCTCGAAGATAACCATAGATGTTGACTTACTCATCTCGCCTCCCCTTTTGTCATGTCCTCATGTTTCGCCTCACCTGAGTAGGTCGAATAGTTTGTTGGTAGTGGTGAATACGCCAGTGAATGCAGCACCCAGAGCCACTTCCACTGCCAGGGTCAGAGTGGCCACATCCACCACTGCACTGGGCTGCCACACTTCGCTGTAGTCTACACACAAAACACATGCACACAATATACATACACAAGTCAACCAGAAAACACCGCTCACAATTCGTGCTTAATGTCGACAGATATTAAACAAAATGTTCATGGAGCAAGTAACATCAGCAGCACGTTGTCGGAGAAACTTTCTAATTTTGAAAGAAACATACTTTTTCCAAGCTAACTTACTTTAAGGTCCAGTGACAATTGGAGGTAATTTTTGTGAGGGAAAAGATTTTTTAAAATCGTTTTTCGTTTTTTCTAGGTCGACAAATCAAATTTTCTGAGCTCCACTAAAACCCAATACAGATCCAACTGGCCATGCGCCCTAAGTGAATCTTTGAAAATTTGCGCCGTATGATCACTAGTTTAAGCTGAGCTATTTTTTGGAAGGTGAAGTCAATTTATGACAGTTTATCCACAAGGGAAAAGACCACTATACAAGCTGTTCAGCTCTACGCGGAGAACCGCTGTTGTGCCCCTGCTTAAGAACTACATGAACTTTTTTTGGTTATTTTTAACGAGCACGGATCATGGTGGGTCTCGAACATCCGACCTCTCGATTGAGAAGCCGAGACGTAACCACTTCACCACCGCTCCCCACTTCACGAGTTTTGGTTGCTGTTGCAATAGCTTACCCAGTAGATCAGCGAGCACAAGCCTGCCCTCTGCGTCCGTGTTGTCCACTTGGATCGAGTGTCCACTGCGGGAGAAGATTACGTCACCGGGTTTGAATGAGTCACCACTGGGCATGTTCTCCACCAGTCCCATTAGACACACCACCCGACCACACACATTGAGACGCAGCGCCTGAACAAATAGAGAGAACCGATTTGCTTCTCACATTCTTCCCTATGCATAGTGGGTCTCGAACCAACGACCTTTCGATTGAGAGGCAGAGACTTAGCCATAAGTTAGATATCGTTGTCTCTCTGAGTTAATCGATTCTGAGCTGTTTGAGTCTTATATTACACTCACATATTATACCGGACAAAATCAGGATCACACAACGAGTGGTTAAAATCTGTGGTTGGCTTGACCTTTTTTCTAGAAAATTTACGCACTAACATGAGCTACGCAATTTTTTAATCAGGAATAGTACTTTTTTTTGTCAAAAGCGGTATTTCTTAACTGCTAGGATAGGATAAAAAATTCGCTTTGAAGCTCAACTGTTTGTGCTTCCTTTCGAAGACTACTTAAGACATCATCAGTTTTTGCAAAAAAAAATCAAATTGGCTGTAAAACTGCAAACAAACAGCTACCCCCAAAGCAGTGGCCGCCACACATGCAGCCCCGCCCATGTCCCCCCTCATCACGTCCATGAGTTTGGATGGCTTGATCGATATGCCCCCCGAGTCGAATGTGACCCCCTTGCCCACCAGAACCAGTGGCTGCACCCCCTTGTCTGCCTTGGGGTGGGTGAGGTGCAGCTCGAGCAGGTATGGCTTCTGACTGGATCCCTGGGCCACTGCCAGGAGGGCATTCATCTGCTGCTCTCTCAGCCAAGCCTCCTCTCTGATCTTGATCTCCAACTCCACTTCAGAGTCACCCCTAAACATCATTCATATCAAATTATGTCCGTTCAGAATGCAAATTAATTTAGAATATTGAAAAAAAATTCTTCAAACCAAAAATTTCCGAAAAAACCACACGAAATAAATAAATGTTTCAACTTCTTTCCTTGACGCTTAAACAGATCATGGCAAGTTACCCGAACGAAAATGAGACAAAAACAAAAAAGTTTGATGAGATATTTTGAATAAGGTTCAATTTTTATCTAGAATGATGTCAATTTGAGGATGCCACGGCGAGAACAAGTGCTAGCGCTGAACCAAAACTGGAGACTCAGCTATTAAAGACTCAACAGGCTCAATTTGATATAGTTTTGTCAACAATCGATCCGGCAGTTTGGGCGTAATTTATGATTGACTAAAAAGCAAGAAACGATCGGCTTTGGAGTAAAATATTGTGCTCGAGTTTTGCAAAATCGCATCTTAAAAACTCCGCTAAGTCTCAGCTAACTTCGCCGGATTATTTCCTGTCTAAAATCAACCCAATTTGAGAAAAACGCCTTTTCAGTTTCAAGTTTTGTTCGTTATGTCCGGATTGTCCTAAACCAACACTGTTCAAACACCAATTAGAAATTGTACGACAAGATGGATGTGAATTTTTTCCGTGATCCTAATTTAGGTGATCCCTATTACTTACGTGATCCTAGTAAAATATGCATTTATTTTGTCCAATCCGAAAAAATATATCCTTGAACTCTTTTAATCGAGAACCCTTTGGCTAGTTTAAATCAGGGATTGGTGCATAAGCATTAATATCGAGGAAGCGAAAAAAAGGCGATTGTAATTTTCAAAAACTTCTCCGAAATCAGACGGTTTCATAAGTCTATATGTCATTTTTAGTATTAACCATGCGGTACGAAACCTTGAAAAAAAATTCGAGTATATTTCTGATCTTTTTCACACAGCGGCGAAACAGAGCGTAAAACCATTTGCGATACATCACAAACATAGCACGATAAATCAGCAGACAGAAATTGAAACCAAAGCCGCTGAGCCAAAGTTTTTTTGAAAACTTCGAGCAATGCTAGATCTACCAAATCTTTGACTTGAATACAGTTCAACTATTTGAGAAAAAACAAGCTGATCAATGAGAAAGTTTTTGGGAAGGCACCCGCCGAGCAAAAAAATGTTTTCAAACAAAACTTTGAATTTTTATTAAATTGACTACAACAAAACTCATACGCATTGGAAACTTGTTTCGCTCATCGAACGATGCAATATGAAACCACTAACCCGATTGAGTATAAGCCGAACAAACATCTAAGTTGAGTGAACAAAAAAAAACAAGAAAAACGAAAAAAAGACAGTATACCGGAACGAAATTGGTAAATTGAAAACCATAAAAACAACTAATGAATAGAACGGGTATTTGAAATGCAAATATAATAAAAATGTAGATTTTAAAAAATGCTTTTGTTGGACAAGTTGTTAACAAGAATCAATCTATGATCCGAAAGAATAACTGCGAGCACAATCATTGCATAGGTAATGATTCCGTGCACACTTATGAACGGAGCATTTTTTTTTAAATAAGTATTAAAAAAAATACTAAAATTTTTTCAAAAAATATAAGTTAAAATCCACAAAAAATCTTACCTCTACCAATGGGGCTTTTGAAATGGCATTCAGAAAAACTGAGCATTGCTACGTGAACTAAACAGACAAAACTAAACAGACAGACGATAGTCCGAAAAAGCAGAAAAATGCTTGAAAGAAAACCCGGTCAGGTTCAAACCACAAACCTGTGACGTCTTAACCAGAGGTGCTAACTCTACGCCAGATGCTCTGAGTGGTTGATTGATTTTGAAATTAATATATCGCAAGAGGAAACATCTTCGAAGTCTTGCGAACAAAATTATTTCCGGGAAAAATCTAGTGCTCGGTTCCAAAACCCTAGCTTATCATAGTACACAGAGGCGTTTTGTGGCTTCGCCCCCACTAACGAGAACACGACAAAAAGCAGCCCAATAAAGTGCAATAATATAAGTGCAAGATAAAGTAGAAATAAGCCTCAAATTAGTGAAAATGAGACTACGTCTCGGATTCGATCTGCGACCTAGAGATTAGGAGTCCCACACTTTAACCACCGACGCTTCATTGATCACAAACACTAACCGCAACTAAGAAGAGAACAGATGCTAAAAAAATTCGAATGCTAGATCGTGATTATAGCAAAGTTCCACCAAATAAGTGAACACTTTCCACTTTCAATGAACACTTTTATTTGCGAGTTAAGTTAGGAAAAAAGAGGGTTCGTACTAATACCCCAGCTGCTGGCAAGTGTAATAATATTTAACTCAGATCTCTTACTTTTGTTGTTCGAAGAGGTTGACCACTTCCTCTACAAACTTCTCCGGAGTGAGTAGATTGGAGGGCATCTCCGTCAGAGTCCTGGCCATGTTCTGACAGTCTGCCAGCACAAAGCCCTCCATCCAGTCCCCTCTTCCGGCACAAGACTCATCCAGCAGCTCCAGATTCATAACTTAAAAAATATAACTTATATTATGTAATGAATATTTAACTGCAGAATAAACGGGTCGACTCATCAGAACCTCGACGCAACTTCAGAAACTGAGTTTGGTTCAAACTTGAGGCCGTCCGAAAAATTCTGCATTACCCTGCAAGTATACGAATATATTAAATGAACCTGGCTTCTTGTACTTGGCAGCCTTGTACATGTCGAAATTGTATGCAGCTAGATGACAGCCCTCACTCACAGCCCCCATCTCCCCCTGCTGCTGTCCCCCCACACTGTCCACTACCACTTCAGTCTCCTTCATAGTGGAGAGAGTGCGGATGGAGGAGGAGTAGGCCAGTCTGATCTGCTCCCTTTTTAGGTCAACTAGGGGGTCATTCAGGTTGTCCTTAGACACGGCCGCCAGGCTGAAAAAAAAACAAACTTGACCATGAACAATTTTTAAGACATATTTCTGAACAAAATGGAAAACTAACAGACCTAAATAAATGTTTTCACGTCTTTGATTGACACTTAATCAGAATAATGAAAAAATTGAGCTTCAACAAACTCCTGAAAAAAAAAGAATAACAAAAAATCACGGCCAAAGTAAGTATCTTGGCTTCGTTCATTGACCCTTAAACAGAATACTCGATATGAAAAACCGGCTGATTGTGGTAGCTAATCGGCTGCGTAGTTCTGCCATTTCTACTCAACGATTAGATGAGAAAATTTAAGTGCTCGGAAAAAACTGTTCGGACTGGTCTAAAGAAGATGGGTTTATATTTCAATTACATTTTTAGGCTCACCAAGATCAAGAATCGGCGCTGCTGCAAACAATATTTGACGGTATAGAAAGAGCAAAAAATTTGAATTTAGAACTTTTTGTTAAGCACTGAAAAAGCTAGCAAATAGCTTCTTTGACAATTGCGTAAGTGGCGTAAAAAAATTGCGGTAGTATCAACAGTTACTGATGGGAGTTACAAAATCAATCGAGCAGACCTAAAAACATCAATTTAAGTTTCTGAACCAGCTCTCCTTCGAATATTAGATCCTTTACTGGGCGCCTGTTTTCTATTACCCACTGACTTTTAACCGTTATCTCTGTTTCTGCTACATTGTAATTATTCTACAAAAACTAGGTTCAGCAAAAATGAATAGGGCTGTGATAACAAAAACAAAACACAGCTCTAAAAAAATTTTAAATTAGTTGTTTCTTGCCTGATACTCTTGTATGGCATGACATCCGAAGGCCAACTGAGTACCTTCGAAGTTCCTGGTTTAATCTGGACTCTCTTCTCCTTCAGGAAACTCTTCACACTTCCCTTCACTTGATCACTCAGCTTACTCTGCTTATCGAATGGGTCTTCTGAGCTCGGATTCCCTTCCGAGTCAACATAGATAGCTGTGATCACATTCTTAGAAGCGTCACTTGAACTCAATCTGCTTCCAAGTATGGTTACATATTTACTTTTTAACAGGAAATTGACCGAATTCTTCGATATTAACCATTTTTGAACTCTCATTTTTTCATGAAATCAAACTGACGATAAAAGTGAGTCTATTTTTTTCGTCAATTGCTTCAACAACATAACATTCAATCTAAAAAACTCCACACTTAAACGAAGATCATAACTTACAAAATCTAAGAACTTAGAGAACCATGGAAAACTAATCAACATCTCACTCAAATTCAATCAAAAGAAAAACGAAAACATTTTAAGATTTATTTCTACCTTTAAATAAAAAAGCATAAACCTCGAATAAAACATATTACGCTGTTACATCGAACAGAAAAAGTAGTTCAATCTCAACAATCTAGTAACGCCCTTCCCCAAAGAAGACACTGGCTTGCACTTTAAGAGGGGGTTTAACATATAAGTCAAGTTTGGTTTTCGATGAAGCGACTCGATTTAATTTTATATTTTCGATGATTTTTTAAAATTCCATCCCCGGGTTGACGTCCAAAAGAACAGAAATAATATCATATAGATTCCATATAGAATCATATAGTTTCCATTCAAAATTTAAAAATTGTTTTTAAGATTTTTAATACACATTTTATTTGACCATTTTGAAGCTTTCAAATAAAAAAATCGTAAAACTGTAGGATGAAAAATGCTCATCATATAAATTTTATGGGTGAAAACTGTATGATAAGCATTTTGTTAAAATAAAAATTAAATTTTCAAAAATCACTATACAAATCGTGTTTGGGCAATTTCAAATGAGCCTGATGCAAGTTTTCAATGATCGAGAGGGTTTTGACTCTCAGGAACCTGATTTTAGTTTCGGTCGAAAAAATGTGGATCAGATAATTTCCCTATATGAAAATTGTATGACAATCATTTTCTCCGAAAAAAAAATTAAAATAACTCCAAATCGATTGATGTGTTGACGTAGTTTTGAATCAGTTTTAAAAAATCCTGAATGATAGCATGCATGTTGATTTCGAAAAATTATGATTTCGAAAAAACGCTCAATTTTTATATATTAAAATGTACGACAAGCAATTTTCCATAGGGATATTAGAATAATCAAAAATCAATCAGATTGATTGACATTGTTTTACCGTAAAAAAAGACATAATTTACTTTTAGTCGAAAAATGCTTATCATATAGTTTTTATATCTGAAAGTTATACGATAAACTTGTCTCCACAGGAAAGTATTATTAATCAAAAACCATTCAGAAACCAGTTTGGGTATTCTCAATTGAGTTAAAAATGGGATTCTAATGAATGAGTCGAAAAATGCATATCAAAAACAAATTGTTGATAAAAAGAGTATGACATGCGCTTGCTAGAAAAAGTGAAAAGTTCTGAAGTCAAAAACAATTTCTAAGTTTTTGATTGCTTAATGAAATTGAATGCGTCTTGCGTGGTTGACCAGTTACTTTACAAAAAAAACTAGCTTTAAAATTCTTGCTCGCAATATGTGTTCAATTAGATTCGCTGAACTGACGAAAAAGTATTGTGAATTTTTTCAACCCGCACCTTTAGTGTGAAGGAGTTGAAAATGGGCATTTACCATCATTTTCAAACTCCTATTTTTCCATGTTGAACATAAATCCAGGTTTTTTTATGTTCTCTGCTGAAATGAGGTTCCAATAATTTTGACAGAAATGGATTTATTTTGTCGCTATTCTAAGATAGTTTGTCTAAAAATGCAACTTATGATCGTAGCAAGATGACTTCTAATTGATATAATTCACGTTTTCACAGAAAATTATTTAGATATGAAATTTGAAAGGAGTACATTCTGGTTTCGAAATTCAAAAAGTTTTTCAGACTTTTCAACCTGGCAATAGTTGCAGTTCAAACATTCTTTTCAAACACTATTGCCTATAAAAAAAACTCACGAAAAAGCTAGGATATCAGAGAGGTTTCTTCTGAACTCCGACGCAAAAATTGTTTTTTTGTGGCTTGACTTGCCAAAAAAACCCAAAGAAACTAATTGCCGCATATTCCACGTGGAAGTTCATTAGTGCTTAATTTTGCAATCAATACAAAATTTCTAAAAGATTAGTGTCGTAAACACTTGACGTTTTGGTTGCTGAGAAGTACGAAATCACTTTGTACAACGAAAAATGAATTTCGAATTCCAGGGTTTCACTAGATTTCGACTGATACCTCCTGTGGTTATGAGAATTTTTGCTGACTGTTTTATTGGTCTCATAGTGAAGGCTAAAATCTCGCAATTCATAACTGTGCAGCTTAATTTTGAGCTAAGGAATTTGTTTTGGACCAAACTTTCATCCTATTTTATAAAGTTATGATTGCTAGAACTTGTGTTTTTGAAATGCATCGTTTAATGTGCTAGGTCACCTACTATTCCAAGTGTTTTAATCACGTTGAGAAGTGCAAAAAAACAAAAAAATAGGATTAACATCGCGTTCAACCAAAAGACAAGAATTTTTTATTACTGAAATTGTTCTCAGCTGATAACAGTTTCTAATGAATTTTCAGAAAAGATAAATCAAAATACCGTTCTTCTAGTCTAGTTTGCATATAATTCCCAATACTGTTCATGACGAAATGACATCAGATTCAGGAAACAGAATTAGAAAAAAACTTTTTCATAAAGAACATACTCGGTTTGAGATTTTAAAAGTGTACACATGGGTTTTCAAAAATCAAAAGAGCTTTGGAATTTACTCTTTAGAAAATGTTGCAATTGACACATTTTTTTAAACATTATTCTCTGAAAGAAATAAAAGTTTTTAGGGCAGCTGACCTTTAAAAAACGTTTTTCTACTAATTTGTGTTAAGAAACTCATTACATCATGTTTCCTGAAGAACTGCGTTTTTATTTTCTCAATTTGCAATCATCAGTCCTTGCTCAACGGATAACGATCATTCGATGTGAATATCTCGCATCAATTTGTTTTTTGAGAATAAAAAAAATAAATTTGAAAAACAAATAGTACATTTCGAAATCCTGGGTTTCCAAAGGTTCTGAAAGATACCTCCTATGATAGAGTTTGACTGTTCTGTTCTACTTCTTTGTCTCATTAGAAAAGCAGATTATCTTTCACTTTATTTGGTTCAGCTAAATTGTGCATCTTTTGTTAAAGAGAACTTTCTTTTTTAGGCACCTTTAAAAATGGTTAGTAAACAATAAGTTTTGTGAGAAATAGTTTAATTACCATTCCAATCTCAACCATGAAAATGAGTAATGAATCTGAGATGAAAAAATTTTAAATTAACTAGGTTTTCAATGAAGAGACAAAATTTTGGAATTTTTGAAAAAAGTCTAAGCTAAAATCAATTTTTAACCTATTTTGAGAAAACATATTTCAAAATTCCGCTCTTCTGGGCAAATTTGCTGAAAAATAAGAACATTAAGCATAACTAGGTGTCATAAGATGTACAAAACAACAAGTGTAATTATAGTTTTTTCCAGAAACAGTCATTTCGGCATGAGATTTGGTAAGTGTACATTTGGGTGTTGTCGACTCAACCATTTTTTCAGAATTTTTCTCCCTGAAAAAGGTAGCAATGCAATAAAAAGAAACAAAAAACTGTTGCCAAACCAAAATAAGTTTGTATGGACGCTAAAATCTAAAATACATCAAATATCAGAGGGCTCGCCTAATCTCTTGTGAAATCATTATTTTGGGGGCTTGATCTATCATGGAAATCTGATTTTTTGAAATACACTGCCTTGTATTTTCTTAAGGTTTACTTATTTCAAAAATCAAGTTGTTGAAGTCGATAGATTATCTGTAGGTCTAGTAATCAAATGCCGTTTTATTCCAGTTTGATTTGATTGTTGAGAAAGAAAATTTTTAGTGAAAACTTGAATTCTGATCAATCTGACGCGTGTTTTGGAAAACTTTTTTATGAAATCCTCTTAACTACTGAGATTTTTATTTGCTGCCATCTTTAGTCCATGGTTGGCCTTATTTTCAAAATAGTAAAGATCACCCAGTTTGTCGTCGTTGTTGGGAAAATGATTCTTCAGTGAATAAAAAACAAGCATATTCAAGATCCTGGCTCATCGCACATTTTGGCTATTAGCTTCTGAAGTAATGAGCATTTTAGTGCCCATTTGTTGGAATCATTAGATCATGCGTCCGCTGTAATTTGCTGACAGTCGTTTGCCGCGATACTCCCTAACTGTTCAATGTCACTTCAGCAGCTTTAAGCGTTACTGGTTCCGTCCATTTTTTATCATCAACTAGATGACGACACATTCCCTGGAACGATTTCGTTTTTTTTCTTTACGATCCGCCTTACCAATGCGGAAACTACCAGTTTCATGACCTGTTACAACATTTCTGCACGCGAATGACAGATATAACCTGAATAACGTCTTCTTCCGCGCAGCATATCAATTTATGATAGACATACTAATCAACTGTGCACTAAGAAAAAGTCACTCAATTGATTTTTTTCGAAAAAAAGGCTTCAATCTTTGCAGCTACCAGATAGTAAACGAAATAAGCTGTTCAATCGTGCAGTAAATTAATTTTCTACTGATTTTGAAGTTACTAATGATAATGTTTCCAGTGATTGTGCCAACCTGATGATGTTTCCAATGGTTCGCTCCTGGAGCAACTGTGTTCAACTTTTGATCGATCTTTTGTTAAAAAGTTAAGAGAAAATCATAGGGCACGTTCGCAAAATATGGAGTCGAGTTGCAAACAACTGCTGGGTACTTTGCGCATTAGCACATAGTTTGGCTTCATCCAGGCTCCTTTGACTTGGATCAGTTAGCACAAAATTCTCAAAAAGCTATTCGATACAGCAATCGCAGCTAAACTGTTGCTGAAGAATTGCAGCAACCGTCTTAATTGGCGGTCAAAGTGCCTCGTCATGGCTGTTCCCACAGATACTATCGTTGTATGAAGCGCCGTGATGAAAAAAGAAAACAAGATTTGTCGCACACTGCACTTTCCTCCTAGTCACTGTCTTTGGGAGCTTTCTGTTGAAAAACAAAACCCAGAAGACGCTCTTCGCCCAATGGAGAAGATTGAAATGGCAGAAAAAACTAAAGGTTCTACTCGTTGGCTCAAAAATGCTGGTGTGGAAGTTCATGAGTGCTAAATTTTGCAATCAATACAAAATTTCTAAAAGATGAGTGTCGTAAACACTTGAAGT